AGATGATATCCTGGACCGTAGCGAAGCCGGAGCTGCTCGATGTTGGAGGTCTTCCAGATCAAGAGTGCCGGTCCCCAGGTAGCTGTCCATGGGTGACTCACAAGAAGTTTCGCAGCTGTTTGGAGGTGACGTGAATTCCATAGGCCTTCTCCAGTCAGGCTGCGATTGGAGATGACTTCATATTTTGGTGTACATGAAGGTGATGGACGAGAGCCTGCTCCTGCTTATCGAGGAACATCTTGGGTATCTTCCGCCCTGGTAGTCTCCACGTCTTCTCTCAGGGCTGCGTATTCTTTACTGATATGTGCCTAAAATGTGAATGCTAATGCACGCTATTGCATAGTTTTACAGAAACTTACAGGTCCCCACAGAAAGCATCGGTCGTGATTTCCAGAATGCCCCTCCTACCAAGCGGGACTGCAGCTATATACGTCGTGTAGAATGCGGTATGGGATCATGCCGATGTTAAGCAAGTGCCTTATTTTTTTGGCCGATTAATAATCCTGTGGCAGTCAGTTTTCGCGATCGTTTGACCAGGTCTACCTATCAGCCTAACAAGACATAAAACGGCCTGCTAGCGGCTCTTTCGGTCGCCTGAAAACATCAAGAAAAATGTAGCTCCTTTAATGAAGTCACCTTGCAGTCTTTGCGGTGGGTTTCGAATATGTAGTCAAATGTCCCCACAATTCCGTTTGGACTTCGAATTCTATAGATGCTGGTGGGAGTGTTTCGTCTACCGTGCTCTTGATTTCAACGCCAAACGGAAATTCCTTGTGATGGAATATAAATGTGATGGAAATGGACAAAGTCTGTGGAAATTCTCTGCAACAGTGGTGGTCTCCTGGAAGGTTCAAGAGCGAAATATACTGTGAAAAGCTTGCGACGCTCTTGAAAAGCGCTGGCCTGACCGACGAAGAGACATAAGAGGCAGATGCATCCTGATGAAACAAAGAGGTGGCAGATGGGCCGTGTTGCTGAGACGGGTCAACAAGTAAGGACAAGCCATAAAGCCTTAAGACCGGAGCAACAACCATGAAGGCGAAGCCGAATGAAACAGCATGAGTAAAAGGCTGGGATAGCATGGAGG